CTACAGATTTCCATGAGCCTCGACACCAGTGATCTCAGATAAGACAAAGGGTTTGAATCCTAAGAGTCCCAACAGCATTTGTTTACATGCCATATGAAGTGTGAATCCAGAGAGACAGGGTATTCATTTGAATACCAAGTGGAAAAAGGAACCACGCATGTATTATGCAAGGTGGAGTAAAATCCTAGAAAGAAAGATACTGGGAAAACAAAAAGGGGGTGCCGATCATACAAAGCTATTTATTATTTATTCTATACCAATAACTTATAATTATTACCAAATAAATATTTTAAAGGTTAGAATAAGGAAAACTATTTTTTAATGCTTATTGGCAAATAGAATAAAAGGATTGAGCTTGACCCCAACAAACAGTGATAAAAGAAACTGTGGAAATTACTTTAACAAACACCCTTCAGTCCCCTTATTAACAAGGTCTTTCCAACACCTCTAATCTGCTCTGTCCTACACACAAAGACTGAAGGGACTTGGGGATCATTGCATGGGGCTCCACAGGGGAAGCATTTCACTGTACAGTTGAAGAAAAGCTATGGAGCTTAAGGGATGGCTTAAAGGTCAAGAACACTTGCTTGTCTTCCAGAGGACCTAAGTTTGATTCCCAGGTCCTACATTAGTTGACTTGCAACTGCCTGGGACTATAGCTCCAGGTGATCAGGGGCCTTCTTCTAGCTTCAGAATTTAGAGGGCGTCCACACTCATATGGCATATAATCACAGAGATAAAAATAAAAAGAAGAAAAGGAAGAAGGAGAAGGTGAAGCAGGAAGAGGAAGAAGAAGGAGGAGGAGGAAGAGGAGGAGGAGGACTGATGGGATCTCCTTCATGAAAGATGTTTCCAAAAGACACTTATCCCAAATAAATTTTCCACTTGGTCCATAACTTTGTGATCCTTTAAATTCCTTTCAGTTAGAAATAAACTCTACCATTCAATTAGCTCCTAGGAAGAAGGACTCTTGGATTGAAATTTAAGGTATCCATGACTAATGATATCACACCTCTCATAGTTGTTTGGATTGGGGCAGGCTACTGAAGTGGAGAAGATGGATCCATGAGACTTGAGGAAGGAGCTTGAGTGGACTTGACAAATGCTGGGTATAGTCATGCACATCTATAATCTCAGCACTCAAGAGGCTAAGACAAGAATACTTCCATAAGTTTGAGGCCAGCCTGGGTACCTAGACTACATAGTAAGAACTTGGTTCAAAAAGGAAGAGCAAGAGGAGGAGGAGGAGGGGAAGAAAGACAGGAGGGGGAGTGGGAGGAAGAGGACAACGGGGACAGGAAGAGGGGGTAGAGAAAAGCCTTAGAAAAGAGCAGCCCAGGCTAAAGCACTAGAAGTAAAGTCCTGAGTGGTTTCCAGGCTCCTAGCATGGGGAATGAATGGGACCCTCAAGTGCACATAGGACATCTGGTCACTTCACTCCTTACCGTTTTTATACACAAGCAAAGACTGAATAGGAGTGTCTAGATCAGTTCTACTGGACAGAAAATAGAATTCTCAGGGTCATTACAGGACAGGAAGAGTATCCTGTGATCTATCTAGGGATGAAGGGTCTAGACAAGATCCTTCTCAAAGCTGACAACATAAACACTCCTCTCTGAGGAACACCCCCCACTTCCTCAGCAGGAAGAATAAACTACTCTAACACCCACCACTGAGAATGCCAGCGACTATGGGTTGACTTCATGCCTGGCTTGCTTAGAGCTGGCCCTGGCTCAATCATCCTTCAAAGCTAGTGGTTAGAGCATTGACTCAAGGCTCAGTATTAAAGCTAACAGAAGCATTAGCTGGGTTTGGTCTTTCTCTTTTGCAAACTTTGGTAGGGAAGTGCCCACTGAATGCCTGACTGAAGGTTGCAACACCTTTCCAGGTCCCACACGTCTGCCCATATGCCTTGCTTTATTTGTCTCAGCTGTATTGACTCTGCCTTCTAACATTTGATCTAATATTCTTGTGTGTCTGTTAACTGGCAAACATAAAGGAGCATAAATCCACAAAGGGTCTCGGAAGACTCTGCTCTTTGCTATATTCATGGGATTTAGAACAATGTCCGGTTTCAGTGAGCACTGTCAGAGTTAAAATGGAGTCACATAAGCAGCACATGTTAAGGCCAGCAGTTTATGAAGGAAGGTATCATGTCCACCTGTGTTTGACAGCAAGAACTATCCCTTTATACTCTACTGAGGTACTCCACTGTACAAAACCAATTGTAACCTGATGTAGATGATACTTCTGTAGGCACCCATTCAATAAGTCTGCCTAACCTCAGACTGGTGCCTCCATTTTTACTGATCTTAAATACCATTGCTTGTTGATGCAAATTAATGCTTATGTCCCCCTCTCTGTACCTACCAAAGGTTCTCTTTGCCTAGTCTTTTTTGAAGTCAACTCCAGTTTCCATGACAGGCATGTCCTGCATGGCAGCTTTGCTTGCTCATCCCAAATATTTACCGTTTTTTCTTTATAGAGACTTTCTTTGTTATTTAATCCACAGTGAAGAAATAGTTCTGAAATAATGAATGAAATTAATTTATACATGTAGAAAGTTTAGGAAAGTGTTGAACACATATTTCATACTCAAACATTTTAGTTATTGAACTTCAACAAAGTAGAAAGATATATTCTGGGGTTTTAAAGTTAAAATTCAGAAAATAGCACTCTTTTATGATAAGGCAGAGACAGGCTTGATCCCTAGCAGTTTCTGCTGCTCACACCTATGTTTCCTCTCCGTCCAGATTACTTTGGTCTCCCTTGGCCTTGAACTCCACTGCATGTTGTCACTAGAGAGCTTCTAAGTAAGCACATGGAGAACTTCCAGATAGACAATGATGATGTATTCTGCTTATGAAGACTGAAGATGTAAATCAGTGGCCTATAAAGACATTTTGATAAGGAGGAAGGCTCCAGATCTTGTTTGTGCCTTCAGAAGTTCGCAGACCTCAGGGTACAGTAGAAAACCGTAAAATGAAGTTCTGTTCTCTGTGTTAAACAGGCTTTACCATCTTGCAACCCATGTCTTACCGGTTGGTTTGTGGTTCCTTGGCACTCTGTGAATTCTGCTATATATACCAGGATGCTTCAAGACTCCTGTCTTTCACTAAGCACCCCACTTCCCAAAGCAGACATAGATACCAGGCTGGAAGGAAGTTTTGCTCTTACCCATTACTTTAAACATGAGTAAATTGCATGTTAAATAAACATCCACATTCAGGTTGATTTCAGACATTGCTTTTATAGTCCTGAGATGTCTGGGAAGTGCTTGGGAACACATGGAAGGTACATATGTTTGTTTTGTGTTTTAGCTTTTGGGATATCTCAGTATAGAAAGGCACTTCAGAAGCATGAGAGAGAGAGAGAGAGAGAGAGAGAGAGAGAGAGAGAGAGAGAGAGAGAGAGAGTGTGTGTGTATATGTGAGTGTGTTGTGTGTGTTGGGTGTTGGAGTGGCAGGGATGAGCAGTACCATTTACCCTATAATGAATCAGGCCATCTCAGACATTAAATTGAGGCAAACAAAGCAGGATGGCGGGGTATTGGAGCCTGGAGTCTTGTTGCTGTTCTTCCCAAGTGTCTGCTGTAGACCTCCACCATATCCAACTCTCCGTCATGCCCAACCCAAGGCTTGGCAGTCAGGGCCCAACAATTGCCCACATGTCTTCCACATCATCACAACTGATCTACTTGAAAGGGTCAAATAGGCCAATTTCCCACATCCTGTGCTTTTCTTTACTTAAAAGCACCAAATGACTAGCCCAGTGACAACCCTGTGAAAAATTTTCCATGAACTTAGGGGCTAAAAACCTTCCTTTATTTAATTTCAACTTAATTGCATCAATTAGGTTCCTTTCATGTTTGCTCAACAAACTCTTTTGTTTCTTTCACTCAGCTCTGAGCAACAGCTGCCAAATGGAGTCTTTGTTCTGGGAGCCTTTTCGAATGGTCTTCACACCAATCCTGTTTGTTTTCCTCAGGGGTTCTTCTAACAAACCTGAAGAAGTATGGCTATTAAGCCACAGAGGGCAAACTTAGTTGCCAGCTGCCATTTACCCCACCCCCATAAAGTGCCCAGAAAAGAAATAAGGCCTTTCTTCTCCACTCTGAAGGGAAAATGATTGAGTTGGAAGAGGCTTCTGAAACCTTCAGATATCTTGAATTTCCGTTATCATCTCTCCTTGAGATATCTCCTTCCATTATCCAATCTTAAGCATCTTCTGGAATGTTCATTCTCTCAGGCCATAGGAACATCCCCATTGCTTGCTTCCTTTGTGTCCCCCCCCCCCGCGTCTTTCTATCTTCTCACACTCCCCACAGCTATCAGATGGATATAAGTAATTCTAAAGTGAAGCCAAGAGAATAACCCCATTGCTGTCACCCCTAGGATTGAACCTTCCCCCACCTTCTCTCAGAATCTAGGGTATTGTGCTTACCCCTAAGCTGCTACTCCAAATTCTTCAGTCTTGATTCTACTTTCTCAACCCCTGGAACTGACTTGACCAAGGCAGTTGCCATTTAGTCCCTTCACTCCTTCTGTTTAGAAACCATTCTTCTAATAATGGAAGAGATTATTTCTCCTGTCTCCCCAGATCTGGGCTAGCTGTGGTTTCCTGCTTCATTATTAAGATCCAGAATATGTTCAAAGCCTTCCAGCTCTAAAATGTAAGAAGCTTGCTAACATCTACCTGGGCCTTTTGGAATATCCTCTTTGAAATATTTGCTCTGGGGATATTAGATACCATATAAGAAGTCCAATTATCCAGAGATTGACAAATTATAGAAAATTTAAGTCATGTGGAGAAGCCCTAGGGAGCAAATTCTGGTGAGAGAGAGAAGCCAGGCATTAGAGTTATCCATGAAGAAGCCATCTTGGAAATAGACGTTCAGCCCCAGCCACACCAGTGGACACAAAATGAATGACAGATGAACCAATCCAGCCAAGCCCCTCCACATTCCTTAAGCACAAAATTGTAATAAAAAATAAACACAGTTTTGGAGGTCTTTTTTTTAATACAGCAATAGTCAAGCAGGCAAACATTTCTTCTAACAAGTCTTTCCGATCTTCCTAAAGCCCATGTGGGGCTATTGCTCATAGCCCCATCTCATGGTCCTTACAGCTACTTTTCCACTCTTCCCTCTTGCTTTTTCCTTAAAAAAGTAAAACATCCCTTACATTGGCTGGAATTTTTTTTATCTCACTGCACGATTTTCTTGTAAGAGTCACTCAACAAATGCAAGTCCTTAGGATGTGCCAAACACAGAGATTTCAATGGTTAAGTATAGTCCCACAGTGCTGGTATTCTCTCTTCTATCAGGGGTTTTCGTCCCGCTGGAAACGGCTCCTACGTCCGTCTGATGATAAGCTCCCCAGAAGAAAGGCTGCCTGGTTCCTTCATATTCTTTCAATCCAGTATGGTGCTATTACAAAAGCAGGTGCACAATAAATTCCAACCCAATAATTAAATGAATTGTGTCTTTGCATTGGTATTGATATGGCCAGTTACCTTTAGATTTGGTTGAGTTCATCCAAGTTGATCTTTGCATAGTTCAACTTCCTGAAGAGGGTGCAATGGTCAAAATACAGCAAGAGTAATTGTAGCAAAAAAAAAAAAAACCCAGAGACATACTAGGGTTAGAGCTGAAGATCAGAGCAGCAAAGTAGCCAGCCACTAGAGCATTCTTACCTCTACTAATGCTCAGACCGAAGGGGCGATCCTGTTCTCAGACTGTATCCTCAGACTGCACTGAGCTCCTGTCTCCTCCTGCCTTATATTCCTCTCTAGTTCTGGGATTAAAGGCATGTGATCCCAAGTGCTGAGATCATCTTTGTGTGAGTTCTGTTTCTTTTTTAGACTGGATCAATTTCGTGTAGCTCAGGGTAGCCTTGAACTAACAGAAATCTGTCTTCCTCTGTCTCCCAAGTGCTGGGATAAAAGGTGTCTACCACCACTGCCTGGCTTCTATGGCTAGCTAGAGTGCCTAGCTTTGCACTCTGATCTTCAGGCAAGCTTTATTTGTTAGATCATAAACAAAATATCACCACAGGTAATGATTTCTGGTATCTGATGGCCTGGCTTGGGTACCCTACAAATTCAAATGTAACAAGAATGAGTAGTAGGAACATTCCACAGAAGGAAATGCTCAGAGAAACCTTCCATGCTGGTGAGAGGTCGAGCTTACAGGGACAGCTTTCATATCTCAGCATGTTACAAGCACCCACCATGAACCCAGTGCCCCTGTCTCTTCCCTGCAGATAGCAAACAAATAAAATAATGGGAGGAGGCCACAATTCTGTGGTTTTTGTTTTGATTTGAATATATCAAGTAATCTAGCAAATGAACTAGCTCTTAAAACCAAAGCAATGTGCACTTGCCTGAGGCTAGGTTCAAAAGAAAGATTTATTGAGATCAGAAGCTCCATGTATTTGTAGGAAGCTGCCTCACTGGTCCATTTTCCTGGGCTCTATTATCACTGGCTATGGAGTCACTTGGAGGGTCTGGCAGTTGTTTGTCAATATGGCTCAGAAAAAAACCCAGGGCATGGAGGAATAGCGTGTACTTGGCTCATTAATTCACCAAGGAGTGACTTCTCCTTTAATCTGAGACATTTGGTGATGACTGGAGACATTTTTGGTTATCACATTGGGGTATGGAAGGAAAGCTACTGGCATCTAGGGATGCAAGTCAAAGATGCTGTTGGACATCACACAGTTTGCAGAGCCACCCCACTACAAAGACTCATCCATTCCAACGTCCAGGCTGAGCTAAGATCGAGACACAGCGACAGAGAACTTCAGTGCTCATTAGAACCACCCAGAAGCCTTGTTGAAACACATCACTGCTTTGGCAGCTCTGGAGCAAGGCCCAAGAAGGTGAATTTTAACAAATTCTGACGCTGGTCTTCTTTGATTCCAGTCTGAACTGCTGCTCTGGCACTTCCTTTCTCGACACAGCAGAAGCTGAAGGTGGTCATCTGCTGCTGAAGATGGTGGGAAGGTCGAGGTAATGAGCCGCCCTGTGATTCTGTGATTCTGTGATTCTGGAAGACTTTTCTGCCATTCAACAAGAATCTTGCTTGGGTCAATGAACTTCATTCTGACTCCGTCTAACTGCTTACTGGGGAGGAACTGAGGAAAAAAATAAAATATAAGAACAATAACACACTTGGGGGGAATAAAAAGGAGAACCTGAACCAGGAAGGGAAATTAGCTACTCCTAGGGTCACTTTTTGGCACATCTTACAGAAAGACTTGGAGAGCAGGTGACAAAGGCTGATTCTCCGGAGGGGCAGCCAGACCAACAAAAGTTCAATTAGTAAGTCTTGGCAAATAAAGACAACAAACAATTTGGCAATAATAAATTAAAGCCATGCTTGGCTCCTACCCAGGCTCGATACTGTATCCCTGCCAGACTTTGTGAAAGGATGGCTTTGAAGACTTCTGAAAAGGGTCCATTTCTTGAACAATCCCTGCTTTTGTTTGTAGCCTTTCTTGGCTTCTCAGTGCTCTTCTTCACTTGTCATGAAGGGCATTCACAGCAGTGTCATGCACCAGTGTCCCAAGATGTTGCTGGTTCAATCCCTTCTTCCCAACATGGTAAGAGATGCCCACTGCCCATTTCTGCTGTCACCTGTAGAGAACTTCATAGGTGGAACCTACAGGCTGGGAGAATGAAAGAGATGAGATTTTTTTACCTTAAAATTCCCATTTCTAGGAAAGCAGAACAAATGCTGCACATTCGTAGACACACAGTTTCATTTTGATCATGTTTTTTCAGTATGAGGAAGCTAAAACATTTTACACAGCCCTGTATGGGACTCACATGTCTCTATATTCTTTGAGTCCCCCAGAATGCAGACAATAACATTCATGGGAATGACATGCTAATATTCACTGAGTTCTTCTAGCACATCAGATATTAGTCTGAATGTTTTGAATTTATTGTTTTCTTAAAGCCTATGAGATAACATTTTATCACTCATATTTTACAGGTAAGCCAAAGAATTATTGAAGTCCCTTCAAGTTAGGGCCAGAAATCATAATTCCTCTGTAGAAAAATGAATCTACCACATTACTGTGTGCTAGATGGATATTCTAGAAACCACGGAGAATCCAACTTTAGACAAATGTGTATATTTAGGCAAATACATTGCTATAGATCAACTCTTTCTAACACTGGGTGTGGGCTGCCTGGCAGCTTCTAACCCTGCTTTGGCTGCTGGCTCTGATGGTTTGGGAGAAAGAAGTGATGTTTGGACCACTCTTAGGAACACTGAGTCCACCTATTCTCAAAAGAAAGGAGAATCCACCCCTCCCCCAAAGAAAGGAAGGAAGGGAGGAAGGAAGGAAGGAAGGAGAAGGAAAGATATTTTTTAATGTTTTGTGAAATTCAAACTCATGGGCAATTTTGGCTTTGATTTCAGTGATCAAGTCACAGCTCATCTGTCTCTCTAGTGTCTAAAAGAGGTAGCAGAGACCCAGGATTGAGTTGCCCCAAGGGTACACACCAAATGATAGAAGGAGACTAGAACTTGGAACAACCCATCTGTATCTGCGCTCTTGCCATTGTCCCATTCATATTCCCTTCACAGGCTGTCCATGGCATAAGCCACATTCATTTCTGAACCCAGTGAATATGGTAAAATTCCCAAAATTGGAAGAAATTCAGCATCCAAAGAAAGGGTTTAATCTTCTTTCTGGAGGGCTGGAGTGAGGGCAAGAGACCTCACAGGTGTTCCCTTGTATCCTTATTTAGAGATGTGAGATGTGTATCATCACAGCTGCCTAACCTTTGAGATGACAATGATGCCACAGGGACCCATGTACTGCCACAGTTATAGAGTCTAGTAAGATGGTGCTCTATAGGCAGAGGTCTTAAGGTCAAAGAGGCTGAATGACCAGAACATACAGAAAGAGTGAGGGTATTAACATAGGCAATTAACATTGATGTTAAATGGTAGGTGATTGTGAATGGCAAATCAGACAGGCGTGGCTTATTTCACAGACAACAGGAGAGCACTGGAGCTTCCAAGATAGATTTTTGATATGACCAGTATTTTTCTTTTATGCAAACAACATGGTAGGTGCTTAGATTTTGGAAACTGATATCAGATGGAAGAAAAAGAAGACTAGAAAATTATGTATCAACCTAGACACAGGTGCTTAGATTTTGGAAACTGATATCAGATGGAAGAAAAAGAAGACTAGAAAATTATGTATCAACCTAGACACAAACGCATTCCGTGGTACATCAATTGTGCTTCTGGGTTTAGCAATAGAAATCAGAACATGCCTTTAATCCCAGCACTCGGGAGGCAGAGGCAGGCGGATCTCTGTGAGTTCGAGACCAGCCTGGACTACCAAGGGAGTTCCAGGACAGCCTCCAAAGCCACAGAGAAACCCTGTCTCGAAAAAACCAAAAAAAAAAATCAGAACATAATAAAGTACTAAAAGGGGGGCTGCGTATACAATCAAGCCCAAATAAATTTCCATCAGTAGGAAAATGGAAAAGCAGATGATGGGTTGTTAATGTAGAATATTATTCAATAGTATTAAAAGGTGTATGAAAAAAACTTGCTGAAGTTGCACAAGGAATGAAGCACGTTATGATACTGGTAATTCTAGAAGCTGAGTGAGAGTTGCATGGGGGTTCATTTTATTATTCTGTTTGTTTTATGTACATTTGAAGTCTTCCATAGTATAAAGTATTAATCATAGGCAAAAGGTCTGGGCCAGGACAGTGAGAAGAGAAAAACCACAACAAATGAAAGACGTTACAGGGATGGACTTCAGGTATCTTGGTGACTACTGGGGCACAGGGTGCTGTTTTTAAATTAGACAGATTTTTGAAAATAATTTACTTCAGTAGCAATGCCTTTAGGAAAGTGAAGATCAAGTTTCAAAAGGAAAAGAGATGGATTCTGTATATGGATACCATATGGGTTTTGACATTGGACTGGGACAAAGAAAGTATGACACTCAGCAAAGAAACAGGAAAGAAGGATGAAGTCCCTCCTTGAGTGTTCTCTTGAGTAAGGCATAAATTTCAGTCTCTGAAATCAATTATCCTATAGGCTAATTCAAGCATCAGGTCAGGTAGGAGTCATCCAAACTATGTGCGTTGGATGCTTGTAACATACCAAGCCAAGCAATGTATGTCCAATATAATGTGACTTGAGTGACAACAAAGACAACAGATCATCATGTAGAGTCCCAGAAGGGAGCTCTAAGCTCAGCATAGTTGAAAAAAGAGCTCCACACTTCAGGAGTTCTCAAAGAAGAACCCATAGTTCAGATGGAAACCATGCCAGCAGGTGCATTGGAGTTTATAAATTTCTGAAACCCTATAGGATTTCTACTTCTCAATTGGGGCAGAATTCATATAATTATAAACTTTTATAACCCCGAATTAGACTCTAGGAGATAATTGTTAGTCACATAGTATGTTAAAGACATTATGTTAGGCAGCATGGAGGAATTTAGGCTTGAAAACTGAAAAGACTGGTAACTTACTCTACGAATTAAATTTTAAAAAGCACGAAGAAAGATATAGCATGCAACCAGATCACAGAACAACCTGTTCATTTTAGAGGTAAGGACATTAAGTATCAGAGAATTTGTGCCACCCTCTCAAGATTGCATACCTATTTTTCCTGAGAACCTGGAGCTATTTTGATCCTTACTCTGGTGCCCTAACCAGATAGGTTTTATCTCTATCCCAGTGTTATTTCTATGGTGGTATTCCAACTCTTCCATATCTACTGTAGTTAACACTTGCTCGCTCCTTGCAGCAACCTTTTCAGGCTCCTTTGATGTCATGAACTCTGGTTGCAAGTGCTCAGAGTGGGTAGACGTGTGCTTCTCCCAGTGTGAGTCTAGTGATATATGCCATAAAACTCCACTCTGGACAAATGGCACTGCTGACTTACTCCCATTTGAAGCCAGACCTGACATCAATTAAAGCCTTCATATAATCTCTAGCTTGTGATTAAACACATTTTTAAAATACAATTAGTTATGAGCAGCTATGCAAGCCTTTGATTCATAATTGACTGATTGTTTCCAAAAAGTTGACCAAGGGAGCAATAATACCCAGTTGGCTCTACAAGACACATTGCAAACACACACCCTAATTCCTGCCTTTGCTCAGGGCTGAAGGTACCATTTGCCAAGTGGGACCCTATTTATCTTTCCAACCTCACTTTTCCAGACTGTAAATAGACATATGTCACCCACTAAGTCAAAATCTCTCTCATAGATTCCTATTGTCCTCTGGAAAAAGTCACAACTCATTGTCACGACCTATGAAGTGTTTTGTACTTTGACCTCTGTTGCTCATCTAACCCTGTGGGCCTTGCTTCTTGAATCCTGGTAACCCACCTTTTCAGATCATGGAACTAGAATAGTGATTTCATGAGCAAGTTTATATCTCTTCATCTGCACTTCTTTCATACAGTCACTGATTCATTCAGTAAATATTTCATGGGGCTTTATTGAGTGTCAGTTCCTATGTTGGACACTAGTGATTAAACGATAACTAAGAAGTCAATGAGCTTCAGTTCTTAGAGGTGGACATTAAAAAATCATACATGTACATGGTCACTAGTGTCTACATGTGAAGGGGTGGAGGAAGGTCATTCCAGGCAAAGTGGAGAGTCAGGGGAGAGTCCCCTATGGAAAGAAGAGGAAGAGAAAGTGAGTGGAGTGATTAGAGACACATGCTGGTTCTGGAAGCCATTCAGTTTTAATTTCCATCCTGGGGCAGGATTTTAAAGACATGTAATAACACAAAAATCTATTATTATTTTAAAAAACAACTTCTGTAGACTGCTAGGTTAAAAAAAAAGCAAAAATGAGAGCTTGGAGAAGTGTTAGGGTGCTGCTAAGGAAACACTGGGCCTTGGGATGGCCAGCTATCCTAGCTTGCCTACAACTGAGGGCTTCTAAAACTTCTAAAAGCAAAACTAAAGCATGCAACTTAAGTCAACCTGCAGGCAAGACACAATGGGGCCTTTTGGGATAAGATAGTACTCAATGGAGCCGAGCGGTGGTGGCGCACACCTGTAATCCCAGCACTCAGGAGGCAGAGGCAGGCAGATCTCTGAGTTTGAGGCCAGGCTGGACCAACAGCCTCCAAAACAATACAGAGAAACCCTGTCTCATAAAACCAAAAAAAAAGAAAAAAAAAGATAGCACTCAATGGAAAGATACAGGTGATCTATAGGTAGAATACTTATTGATGGACAGAAGAAGTAGGTAATGAAAAACGAGGTGCTTTGTGTTCTGGCTTTTGTAACCAGTCAGAACCTTCCGTTGATAATGCAAGAACAATTTCCCAATTTCCCATTTCTCTGTCTGCTCATGGTGGTTTTGTTTTGCTTTTTGTAGTGTTGGTGATCAAGTCCAGGACTTTGAACATAGTAGATAGCATTTTACAACGGAACTGCATTCCCAGCCCTGATTCATGGCTCTTTTGAGAAGAAAGCAAGCCAGCCTGGTAGAACAGCATAAAAGAAGCCAGCTAATCACTGCGTGGCAACTTCTAGGGTTTTAAGCAAATTGATGGCTTGAACTAGGGCCAAGGCTATAATTGGTCAGTTTATCTTGTGCCTTTTATTTTAGGAAGACAAAAGCAATTTATAATTTTTATGATGATCTTCTTA